AAAATTCATTGGAGATTTGTGACAACTGGAAAAAACTCGCAGATGAACTAATAGCCTAGAAATATTGAAAAATTAAGAAAAAGTATGTCATGAATGCATAAAATATGCACAGATATTAACTGTTTATCTTAATAAACATATGTTTAGGTTTACATTACCAGTGAGGCTTCCAGTCAGCAGTAGGCTATTAGTTGAGTTTTTGGGGAGTCAAATTTACACACAGTTTTTCATCTGAACAGGGGTCAGCACCCTCAACCTCCTCATTGTTCAAGTCACTTGTATTTGATAACAGTGTTAATGAACCAGCAATGAAAAACTGAAGTGTATAATAAATGTAAAAAAAAAAAAGAAAAGAAGAAGTAAAGGCAAAGAAATAAAAAGTTTAACACATTTCAAAGTCTAAGAAAACAATTTCACAACTAAAAAGCTTTTCTGTATTTGTTCCTATGTTGACACTTCCTGGGAATAATATGATCTGTTAATTTTAAAATGTGCAAATTAACAAAAACTTACAGTTATAAAACTAAGAAAAGACAACATCCTCAGCTAAAATTTGTCTGGTCTGAACTCCTACAATTAAGACAAGTCCATTCAAATTTATAAATTTTATTTGAATCATTATAACATTCTCCTAGAAAATAGTTTAGGGTAGCAGGTATACTCTTAAAATAGAAATAATAAATTCAAGGGAAGAGAATTACTATAGTCAAAAATGTAAATTTTCAGTTGTAGAATGTTTGTGCTTGCTATATTTAAAAGAAGACAGGTTCATTTTTAAAGATAACTTTAAAGATTAAAATAATCTAACTACTACTTTAAATAGCTAAAAATTAAAATAAAAATTGTGCCTTTACTATGCTACCCTGTCCTATATAAGAATAATTTATCCTTAGATTGTTCACTGGTTCTCCTAACTTGTCTCTAAACAGTTACTATACTCAAAGATTGTATGAATGAAAGAAACCTTCTTCATCTTTGGGAGAAGTGCACACTAGATCACGGCAAACTTCTTTCTCCATTTCAACTTCGACTTCAAAGAAGGTATCTATAAGATCTTCTGCTGTACCTGAGCAAAGAAACAAACAATTCAAGATATACAAAATGATAAAGGAAACAGAATTTTAAATCCTAATTTTCAAATGGAATAAAGACATTACCTTTACTTGATCATCTTTCTCTGTTATTTTTTGTTGAGCCTTTCTGAATACACGTAGATGTGTGCCAAAATCATCTACAATGCGTGTAGTAAAATAAGGCTGCCAGTCTATTTCTTTTGACCTTATAAGAAACATATTACAAAAAAGCATTATATATACAAGCATTTGCCAAAAATAATTCAAAAAAAACACGGGGAAGAATTTTGAGAAAATTTTGTGTTTCTTCTTAGTTAAAGCAATTAGTCAATTTGTCTTAGAAAACAAATACTTTGATCTCCTAATTTGTTTCATAAAGGGGTATGGTTAATCAAGGGCTAATCATATGACTCAATAATTCCTATTCAGATCCTAGTAAAGCTCTAAATATCCCAAAGTAGGTAACTATATCCATCTAATTCCTACTTTCAGAGTCTCCAATTCTAGAAGAAAGTTCTGTCAAATATGGGAGCCTAGAAGATACAAAGTCACTGACACCATGAATCTTTAAATGAATAAAATATAAAAATGGCCAGAAAGTAGAGGCAGTTAAATAGCAATTATCTCAGTCAAATACTGTGATTTGTACAATCTATACAAAGGATCCATATAAATAAAAGAACTCAAATCTAAACAAAAATGCCTGTTGGGAAAACTTGGATTTAATTACAGACGAAAGAAAACTAACAAAGAAATTCTATCAAATTAAATGAAAAATTGATTTGCTGAATACATGTTCTATAATTACCCTCAATTAGATTCAACCAAAAAAAAAAAAAAAAGAAATATTGGCCTGAGAGAAATCTATAGCAAAACATATTTGCTCATTAAAATCCTACTTATTTTAAACAACCTCAAATAACAGGGCAGAGCTTCATGGCACTTAGGAATCAATGCAATCCTCAAAGAGCTGCAGTAGCATTTGCACCACAGCCACCAAGAGGGCAAATGTGTTTCTTTGCATTAAAGTTGATTCTCTGATTGAACACCTACTTTGAGTCGGGTATTATGTTAACCACTAAGCATCTAATTATGATAAATACAGATATGGTCCCTGTCCTCACTGGACTTAACAGTTCATTTGGGAGAAAGAGGCACCAAGTAAGTAAACACAACCAAATTACTATTTTAAAACATGGCAGGCCAGGCGCGGTGGCTCACGTCTGTAATTCTAGCACTCTGGGAGGCAGAGGTGGGTACGTCATTTAAGATAGGGAATTCGAGACCAGCTTGAGCAAGAGCAAGATCCCAACTCTACTAAAAATAAAAAGAAATTATTTGGACAGCTAAAATTATATAGAAAAAATTAGCTGGGCATGGTGGCGTATGCCTATAGTCCCAGCTACTCAGAGGCTGAGGCAGGAGGATCACTTGAGCCCAGGAATTTGAGGTTCCTGTAAGCTAAGCTGACACCACGGCACTGTAGCCTGGACAACAAAATGAGACTCAGCCTCAAAAAAAAACAAAAAAAGGTAAATGCTAGGAAGGAAAACAACTGGGTACCACTTACAATAATAGGGAATTATCGGGGGGCTTTAGATTAGATGGTCAGGGAGGCATCTCTGAGGAAGTGACATTAAGTGAAATAGGAGGAATGAATATAATTTAGCCAAGAGAGTAAGGGGAATCATTTTGAGCAGGGGAAAAAAAAGTGTATGAGACAGTCCCATAGGGAGGAGGAAAATGAAACTTTAAGTAATAAAAGGCAGTGTAGCTAGACTATAGTAACTGTTGAAAAAGTCTCTATCCTTGACCAAATTTTAGTCAGGCTTCTCTGAATCCTCTTCCCAATTAGGCCTTGATCTCTGGGCTTCCATGTGTGTCCATCTCTGCATTGTACAATTTTAGCAAGAATACTGTCAAATGGGTTTAGCCAGAACTCCCCTACCCTGGGATATCTAATCAAATTCCTCATACCTCTCCACCCTTGGTATCTGATCTTCCTGGCCTTTCTTCAACAAGAATCCTATTAAAGTATGTTTAACCAGAATTTCCCCTTTCCCTTGACGTTTCCCCTTATTTTCTATTCACTGATTCCCAACCTGTTCCTTGGCTATAAATCCTCATTTGTTCTTGCTGTATTTGGAATTGAGTACACTTCTATATTGAGGTCTCTTTTCTCCTATTGCAATAGTTCCTGAATAAAATATGTTTTTACCCCTTTAACTACTGTCTAGCTCTGGTTTTCCTTGATATTGCATGGCATGACAGCTAGAGAGAAAAACAAAGCCAAGCCACAAGGGATTTTGTAAGCCTCTAGAAAGACTTAGGATTTGAAAAATTTGCATTTACTGGAATGGAGAAAAGAATAAAAGGCAGACAGGATATGGAGGCAAGAATAAGACTTCCATGTTGGACATTTAAGTCTAAAAGGGTTGTGAGTAACTGAAGTGGTGGTTTCAACTAGGCAGCTAGTGAAAGTAACCTGGAGATCAGAAGGGAACTCTGGACTAAAGCTATAAATTTGGAACTCATTAGCATTTGGATGGTACTTAAAGCCACAGGAATGGGCAAACAAGAAGAGTGCCTAGAACTGAAGACCTAAAAGTTAAGCAGGAGAGGAGTGAAGGAGTATAAATGTAACTAAAATGGAGACAAAAGGAAGAGAGAAATCAGGAGAGCAGTCACATGGAAGCAAAGAAAAGATAAAGTCTCAAGAAGGAAAAAGATGGCAAACCACGTGAAATGCTGCTGAGATACCATGTAATGGTAGCTGTCTGGAGTACCTTGAAGGCAGAATCTTATGCCAAATGGATATTCAGCATGAGTGAGTGCTACACCTGATTAGTAATATCTTCCTTCAGTGGCAGATGTGATTCTAGTAATAGACATGCCCGGTTTACCACCCTTAAAAATAAGTAGCTATATAAATAAGTATATATTGTTATTTGGCATTAACAATATATAAACTATCAGACTTTTCTAATCAAAACTAAGCACTTTCTACTCATTTCACATAAGTACCATTAACATACCTGAGAAGTACACTGAACTCAAGCTAGGTAGGTGTTAGGAAACTATACAGTATTTCTTAAACACTAACATAAAAGCATAAAATCACACCTCAGAAATTGGTATCTGTTTTTCTGCAGGACAGACTAAGGAGATTATGAGCTTTCATTTTTAGGAATATTCAAAACTTTCATTTTACCCACTACACTAGGATATGGTCTTATGTAGCTACCATTTCAGAATCATAACCAGCAGCCAAAGCCAAATGTTATTACTTAATATTCCCATACAGAGTTTTACTCTAAAGTTTTATACTTAGGAAATAAAGAGTCCAAAACTACTGTTCTCATCTGACATTAATTTCCCAATTATAAAAAGCAAAATCTTAGCTGCCCAGTTTTCTTAAGAAATATTATTTTTATCTAGCCTAATTTCAGTAAAGTTACAGTAAAGAAAATTTAAAGCATGCTTCTATTATAACCTAAAATCCAAGCACTTAACTCTAAGTTAAACAGTTCTCAAAGTATTGGCCAGGGACCTCTACAGGATCAGACGGAAGTTCCTAAGACCCTTTCAGGAGGTTTGCATCAAAACTATCTTCATAATAATACTAAGACATTATTTACTGTTTCATTCTCTCATGAGCATACAGTGAGATTTACAAGAGTATATGATAGTATAATGATATGAATATCATTGCTCTATCAGCTAATAGTGTGTGTATCCTCGTATTTTAAACATTTCTTAGTTTTCATTTATAATACATAAATATTATAAAGAAAACCCACATAAACAAAAGCTCTTTGGAGTCTTTAATAATTTTTAAGAGTGTAACAGAGTCTCGAGATCAAAGATTTTGAGAACTATTGCTCTAAGTTTCTTTACAGTCATTATTTGGAATGAGTTTAAACTTACCCTGACAAAGTATCGCATGATCTTGTTCTGGAAATCTCCAGGAGGTAGCAATAAATACAGTAAGACTTCACACAAATCCCGTAGGAATCCTAAAAATAGAAAAAGTAACTATAATAACATTATAAAATGTAAAGTATCCATCTATTCTTGATATAAGATACATAAGAAAAGGCAGAAATAAGCAGTTTCCTGGTTACACTGGCTTTTTAGTAATTAGTATATATCAGTGTTCATTAAAAATTCCATCGTTGGTCTCTAAATAACTATTCAGTCATCAAACCAATATTTTTTAAATTCTGCTGTTTTAAATTCTGCTGTTTTAACCAGTTTTTTTATCATAAAAAAATTTCAATTATGAAAGTGTTTTTCCCCAAAACAGTTTTAGATGTACCATGTATTTTGAACTTCTACCACACATTAATTATCTTTGCATACTTAAAAGTTATTTGCACATTTAAAAATATACTTGTAATTCTTATTTCAAGAAAAAATGTCTACTATCTCAGCAGGCAATAACAAAGAAAAAGAGAGCATGCTCTTCTATTTTAGTGATTTAAGAGATGTCAACGTACATAAAAGTACTCCAGATCAATGTATCTATTTCTTATATTCTTAGTTATTGTGACCATTGAACAACAACAGGTCAAGTATTACACATCAATATATCTATTTCTTACATTTTTAGTTATTATAGTTGACCCTTGAACAACAATGGTCAGAACTGCTCAGTCCACATATACATTGATTTTTTCCAATACTGGAAAATTCTTGGAGATTTGTGACAACTGGAAAAACTCGCAGATGAACTAATAGCCTAGAAATATTGAAAAATTAAGAAAAAGTATGTCATGAATGCATAAAATATGCACAGATATTAACCTGTTTATCTTAATAAACATATGTTTAGTTTACATTACCAGTGAGGCTTCCAGTCAGCAGTAGGCTATTAGTTGAGTTTTTGGGGAGTCAAATTTACACACAGATTTTCATCTGAACAGGGGTCAGCACCCTCAACCCTCCTCATTGTTCAAGTCACTTGTATTTGATAACAGTGTTAATGAACCAGCAATGAAAAATGAAGTGTATAATAAATGTAAAAGAAAAAAAAAAAGGAAAAGAAGAAAGTAAAGGCAAAGGAATAAAAAAATTTAACACATTTCAAAGTCTAAGAAAACAATTTCCACAACTAAAAGCTTTTCTGTATTTGTTCCTATGTTGACACTTCCTGGGAATAATATGATACTGTTAATTTTAAATGTGCAAATTAACAAAAACTTACAGTATAAAACTAAGAAAAGACAACATCCTCAGCTAAAATTTGTCTGGTCTGAACTCCTACAATTAAGACAAGTCCATTCAAATTTATAAATTTTATTTGAAATCATTATAACATTCTCCTAGAAAAATAGTTTAGGGTAGCAGGATATCTTAAAATAGAAATAATAAATTCAAGGGAAGAGAATTACTATAGATCAAAATGTAAATTTTCAGTTGTAGGATGTTTGTGCTTGTATATTTTAAAAGAAGACAGGTTCATTTTTAAAGATAACCTTTAAAAGATTAAAATAATCTAACTATACTTTAAATAGCTAAAAATTAAAATAAATAAATTGTGCCTTTACTATGCTACCCTGTCCTATATAAGAATAATTTATCCTTAGATTTGTTCACTGGTTCTCTAACTTGTCTCTAAACAGTTACTATACTCAAAAGAGTTGTATGAATGGAAAAAAACCTTCTTCATCTTTGGAGAAGTGCACACTAGATCACGGCAAACTTCTTTCTCCATTTCAACTCGACTTCAAAGAAGGTATCTATAAGATCTTCTGCTGTACCTGAGCAAAGAAACAAACAATTCAAGATATACAAAATGATAAAGGAAAACAGAATTTTAAATCCTAATTTTCAAATGGAATAAAGACATTACCTTTACTTGATCATCTTTCTCTGTTTATTTTGTTGAGCCTTTCTGAATACACGTAGATGTGTGCCAAAATCATCTACAATGCGTGTAGTAAAATAAGGCTGCCAGTCTATTTCTTTTGACCTTATAGAAAACATATTACACAAAAAGCATTATATATACAAGCATTTGCCAAAAAATAAGTTCATTTTAAAGACTACTGACAGACACATAATTATCAGAGATTGTAAATTTATACTTAGATTTTGTTCTATTATTACACCTTAGTACTTTTTAAAAATCCAAGGTATATCAAATCTACTTCACTAAGTCTAATGATTTCATGTTTGAATTATTTTATATGCCAAAGCTTAAAAGTACTATCTAATGCTTAAATAGGAAATAAATTATTTTTCTACTTAGAATCGAAATAAGTCTAACAGTATATCACATTATTTCTCAACCTCAACATAAGAATACATAAGAGATTCAGAAAAGTTTTGCTTGCTTTTAGGCATGTTTCAACATTTCTTGGTTTCTTCTGAACCTTTCTTGAATTCTCCACATTCTTCTTTTTGCTATATAACCCAATTTCCCAAGCAAATATCTCTGGTATGAACCTGACTGATTTGCATATACTAGCAAATCAGTATACTTAGCACATACTAGCACTTAAAACGATGACCATAGGAAATAACATCTACAGAAATGGTTTAAAGAATGATGTATAAATGTCACACATACAAAAGCCTTTAGAATACCCACGAAAAAGGTGATTACTAATCTTTTAGGAAGTGCTAGCACTCTATCTCAAAAGCAACAGACTTCAACAAACTGCTTCTAGTACACCAGTGAAACAGATGAAAAATAGAACATATACACAAAAACAATTTACATCACTCTTGGATTGAGTAACTATTTTTGAG